CCCCCCCCCCACCCAATCTGGGATGCCAAGGGGGCCTTTCAATCGAAGAAAAAAAAAAGTGGTAAACAAAACGAAGTGGCTGTAGTTTAGTGGTGAGAATTCCATGTTGTGGCTATGGAAACCTGGGAACGGATAAGTTCACTACTTGCTCAATTAAGTACTTCTCAGTTCTCCCTAATAAAGTGATAGTGCGTTTACAAATTCTTTGTTTTGAGGAAAGATTAGAATTTTTTTCGCTAGGTGGAGTACCAATTGGTTGTAGTCATTTGTTTGATACGGACACATAACATACTTTGCTTGGAGGCTGTTGTATCTGCCGGTATAAATGGATTTTACCTTTCCTCCAGTTTAATGCACGGTGAGTAAAATTTAAGTAACAAAATTCCAAGTGTAGTGTATCCGCAGGAATAGCTGGTCTCCAGCTATATAAGGCAGTTCTATAGTGGTTCTTGATATATGCACAAGTTATTGTTAATATTTGTTATTAACTATTTTTTATCGAATAATGCTCAACAAGAGTTGTTTGGTTGGAGGATTCGTATCCCGATTCGAATCATGGTTCGTGGTTCGTTACAGTGTTTTCTCTCACAAAAAATACACGTAAATTGAAAATAGTTATAATCTCAAGATTCTAATCCATGAACCAAACGTCTCCGAAGTGACCCATGGATACCGTTATATTCCTTGTCAAAGCTCTCAATTTTGGATGCAAAGGAAGCTGGGCCGGTGCATGGTTGGATCTTGGATAGGCGTGGGCACCTGTCACTACTGAAAATTTTAGATTCAAAATTTGGGTTTTTTTTACTATTTTAGTTGTCTCTAAATTTTGATTATGCCTCTTGGTCTAATAAGTTTTTATTAGGTTTTTTAAATTGGACCAAGTTGGAGCATATAAAGATTTTTATTATAAAATGTAAAAATTAAAGTTGTACTCATATTTTTGAAATTAAAATTTCCAGGGGGGTAGGTGTCCTCACTTCTCTTAACATTACCTGTGACAGTTTGCCTTTATCTGTAATGCTTTTAAGTGAAGGTGGTGGGTGTCATACTGGATTCGAAAACGCTCAACATATTTGGAAACCAAACGTTGGGTGGTATTTCCAGTTCCATTCCAAAACCAAACGTTTGGAAAACGCTTCATAAGGGCCATTAATCTTTAAATTCCAAATTGAGCTACACGTGTCTAGAGCACGTGATTGTTTTTTAAGGGCCGGCTATCTTAGTAAAATTCCTTTTTTTTTATTATTGTTTTTATATTATGTTGAACATCTTAGGTCTAATATCGAACAGAGCTGCGTGAAAAGTTGAAATCCATATAGTTGAGTAGCCGACCCCAATTAAGTTGAGATTAAGGTTTATAGTTGTTGTTGAACATCTTAGGTGCTTTTTGCTTCTTCTATTTATTTATTTATTTATTATTATTTATTATTATTATTTTTTTTAGGGTTTAATGAGATCTTAGAAATTTTATGAAACTGTGAGTATGTTCTCATCAAGTGTGGTTATTGTGGCAAGTCAAACTGTTGTAGAAAGGCTTGTCAAAATCAAGCTATTGAGGCCTGCAATCGGATCCTCTATTAAGAATACATGTCTATTTCTCTGTTCAGCCATTAACACTTGATACATCATTCCACTCACTTGAAAACACAAACAGAGAAAAGGCGGAATCGCTCCTTAGTAGTGCTATTAAATTCTCTCTCCCATCTTTCTTTTTTTTGTTCTCTCTAACATCTATTTTTATCCCATCCCTTTTTTTAACCTAATCAAATACTTTTGCTCTATGCTCTCTGCTTTTTTTCGTTTTCTCAAGAAATGTAACAAACTCTCTTTCATCAGCTCTCCCTTCTCTTTTGCTTTCACCCATATTTCTATTTTTTTTCCTTTCTTTGTATGGGGGGAAAGAGAATTTCGATATAGAGAGTTTGAAGTTAGTGCTTTAAGAATTCAGCACAAGGAAAAAAAAAAAAAAAAGAAAGAAGAGAGTGGGATGATGCGTCAATTGTATATTGGCTGGACAGTGAAATAAAAAGGTATTCTTGACGAGGGATTTGAGTTCCTTAGGCCTGATTCGAATGCAGACACCAATTCAATTACCATCTAAGACCATCTTTGGCGCAATGCCAAATCTCTATATAAATACCACAATTTTGGCATTTCGGTAAAAGAACCATCTGCAATGCAATGCTATACTTAAATGCCAATTTGACATATTCAATATCTGGTGTCAAATTTGGCACCTAGTATCACATATGCTAAATTTTGATATTTGATTGGTATTAATTGATGGTTGATGTGTTGATTTTTTTACTTGATAATTACAGTACTGCCATTTTCAATTCCTTCACAAATTAAAGTTTTCATTTTACAAGTTACATGCGTAAAATTTTATTTTATATTTATTTTTATAGAATTGAGGGTAAAAACTTATGACAAAGCACAGTTCTTAACTGTTGGATGTTTAATCAAATTCCTTTAGTTTGCATGTATCTATCTAAATTCTGACATTGATTGTAATATCATCTGACACTTTAAAACCTTAAAATTTGTCCTAGAAAAAAAAAATGTTTTGTTACATGGCTTGATTGTGTGGTTGATTGTATTGGCATTGCAAACTGATAATATGGTTAAGATGAAACGCAGGTGAGGGGTGAGACTGCAGCTTTCAACTACCAACTCATGCCACGGCAGGTACCATCTGGCTCAAAGGAGCACTTTTATTTGTTCCGGACAGGGTTTCAACCCAGTCTGTCGATTTTTGATCGGTTAAAACGCTTCCTGAAGCTCATATATTTCAAAAAAAAAAAAAACTCGGATCAACATTTACATATAAACTTAAAGGGAGCAGATTTTGAATAGGCATTACGTAGCATTTTCCGGATTTAAGGAAAAGCCCAGAGGCAGATTAAATGAGAAATATACCGGACATGTTGCTTTTGGATGTTGGTATCTGTGTTGCAAACTATCCTAGATCAGTATGGTTTTTTTTTTTTTTTTCCGTAATTCTTGCATACAGCTGCGATTCTTATTGGTCGATCCGATTTAGTTATTTTGATTGATTTTTTTTTGTTTGTTTTTTGTTTCTTTTACCCAAGTTGCATAAAGTGCATTTGGTGAGAATTGAGATGGATGAATGGGGATGAAAGTGGTTTTTGATGTAAAAGAGTAAAGAAAATACTTTCGACTTTCTGATGAACGAAATGGATGTAGGTTGTCTTTCGATTGTGATTTGTACGCATATGGGAAGAATGGCGTGGTAACAGGTTATCCACAAAGTTCCTTCATTTCCATGTAAACTTAAAATAGTTGCATATTTCGAGCTGTCATTAATCTCATGGTAATGTAACACCCCTAAACTACAAAAGCCAAGCGCACACTGTATTGAACGAAAAATCTTTTTGTTCAAAACTTGTAAGGAGTTTTATTTATGATTGGGTGCAAGGCAAATCCATTGTTATGCAATAGAAAAGGCCTTTTTGTTGGAAGTCTGCGATCACCAAACCAGCTTTTTTTCGATTGAGAATCATATCACTAATCAACTTAGCTTTACAAATAATTATATTAGGAAGTATGTTTTAGGTAGGAATGGCGTTGGACCTGCCCTGAGCTTGGCTGCGGCCGCGATGAGGATGGTGTTGTTGGGGTGGAGCAAAAAAAGTACCTTGCACCTATAAAGACTCTGTAAAAATTTGTGATTTGTGAATTTTACGATTGTGATTGTGAATTTTCTGCAAAAGTACCTCGCACCTATGATTGTGATTTTTATGAATTTTAAGATTTTTAAGTATCTTCAGTGGCAACGTGTTCTGCAATAATATATGTCTCGTAATATATGTCAATCTAAATTTAAAACTTGTAGTGTTCTTATAAAGAACTCAGTTTAAAAGTATACTTGTGCAACTTAAATTTCATAATTCTTGATTCTGACATCTGAAATTTAATTTTTTTAAGAAAAAAACACTGCAACATAATTAATAATTTGAGTTTGAGTATATAAAATAAATAAGTCTTAAGGCCTTATTTTTTAAACAGCTCAAATTCTTTTGTTATAGTATTTTTTTTATAAAATTCAAATTTATCTTTTTATTATAGTGTTTTTTTCACATTAAAAATTAGAGTTGTGAAAAATACACTAAACTTTGTAATAATTATGTCACACTGATAACAGAATTATTACACACTGACAACGGAAGAAGCCAAGCGCACACTGTATTGAACGAAAAATCTTTTTGTTCAAAACTTGCAAGGAGTTTTATTTATGATTGGGTGCAAGGCAAATCCATTGTTATGCAATAGAAAAAGGCCTTTTTGTTGGAAGTCTGCGATCACCAAACCAGCTTTTTTTCGATTGAGAATCATATCACTAATCAACTTAGCTTTACAAATAATTATATTAGGAAGTATGTTTTAGGTAGGAATGGCGTTGGACCTGCCCTGAGCTTGGTTGCGGCCGCGATGAGGATGGTGTTGTTGGGGTGGAGCAAAAAAAGTACCTTGCACCTATAAAGACTCTGTAAAAATTTGTGATTTGTGAATTTTACGATTGTGATTGTGAATTTTCTGCAAAAGTACCTCGCACCTATGATTGTGATTTTTATGAATTTTAAGATTTTTAAGTATCTTCAGTAGCAACGTGTTCTGCAATAATATGTCTCGTAATATATGTCAATTTAAATTCAAAACTTGTAGTGTTCTTAACTCAGTTTAAAAGTATACTTGTGCAACTTAAATTTCATAATTCTTGATTCTGACATCTGAAATTTAATTTTTTTAAGAGAAAAACACTGCAACATAATTAATAATTTGAGTTTGAATATATAAAATAAATAAGTCTTAAGGCCTTATTTTTTAAACAGCTCAAATTCTTTTGTTATAGTATTTTTTTTTATAAAATTTAAATTTATCTTTTTATTATAGTGTTTTTTTCACATTAAAAAATAGAGTTGCGAAAAATACACCAAACTTTGTAATAATTATGTCACACTGAAAACAGAATTATTACACACTGACAACAGAACGGGTCAACCCATTTAATGACAAATCTAGTGGTCTAAATCCTTACAAATCGCAAGTCTCGCGATTGGCTCACAGAGTGCCACGTATCACTCCAATTTCATATATCCACGTGTCGACCTCTGAACAGCTTCAAAAAACTTCCCTCTCTTTTTGCTCTCTACAAAATCCAAACCAAACCAGAAGAAAATGGCCATTCTCTACTTCTCCAATTCAGCCTCGTCTCTTTCTCTCCTTCCCCTGAGAAAAAGCCTCCCAGGTCCGTGCGATCCCAAACTGAAACCCTACATTTCGATTTTCTCTCGCTTCTCGACAATGGCTTCAATCTCCGGTTCCGATTCCGTCGGACCGAGCTCGGCGGCGATCGATGAGGTGCCGGAGACCGGGGCCGATCAAATGGACCGAATTTTCGACCTGACGTTTCGGAGGTACTCGTCGTCTTCGTCGTCGCCGGCGAAGAGGAACGGCAATGGCGTCGCGATCGTTTGGTTCAGGAACGATCTGAGAGTTTTGGACAACGAGGCTTTGTACAAGGCGTGGATTTCGTCTCGGGAGGTTTTGCCTGTTTACTGTGTTGATCCTCGGCTTTTTGGTTCTACCTATTACTTTGGGTTCCCGAAAACTGGAGGTATTAGTTCCGTTTTTCTGTACTTACGGTGTTTGTTTAGGCGAGATTGTAGCTTTGTTTGGAAAATTTTGATTTATATTTCTGTTTTTTTCTTTTGGGAAAAAACCAGAAAACATGGTGATACTTTTCTGTGGAATTATCGGTCAATTTAGAACTTTTACCACATTTATAGACAAAAACAGAGTATGAAAATTTATAAGTGAAAAGAATGATAGAGTAGCTTTGCTTTAACCCTATTTGAGTCAATGAAAGGAATACTGGAGATTTTCTTAAGTAAAATTTTGAGAAGAACTCGCCAAAAGGTGAAATTAATGTTAACACGTATAGCAATTCTTGACAAACCGTTTAGGTTCTGAAACTTTCTGGATTAGAGAAAATATGAACGTGAGGAAATTCGGTAAGATTCTACATTGTTTTTGCAGCCTTGAGAGCACAATTTCTTATGGAATGCTTGGCTGACTTGCAAAAGAATTTAATGAAGCGGGGGCTTAACTTGCTGATTCAACATGGGAAGCCTGAGGAGATTCTGCCCACTCTTGCGAAAACTCTTGGGGCACATACTGTTAAGTGTTTCCAGACTTATTTGATTTAGTACAATGATTTATATGATCAAAAGATGAGTTTTTGAAGCAATGGAAATCGAGTCAGGTATATGCACAAAAAGAAACTTGCAGTGAGGAGCTGAATGTGGAAACATTGGTGAGCAAAGGTTTGCAAAAAGTGGTGTTGCAATCATCTTCAGGGCAAACCAACAGGCCTTCTTCTACTAAAAATCCCAAGCTGCATCTTGTTTGGGGTACCACTATGTACCACATTGATGACCTTCCATTTTATGCCAATAGTTTACCAGATGTGTATACTCAATTTCGTAAGGCGCGATTGCTGTCCCTCTTGTTTTTCAAATTGTTTCTGTTTCTTTTTTACTTCAACCAGGATTAGTATTTTCATGTCTCAGTTTTGTTTATTAATAAGAAAAAAGAAATTGCAGGCAGTCGAAGCCAAATGTACAGTCCGTAGCTGCATCAAAATTCCAACATCTCTTGGGCCACCACCCAGCATTGATGACTGGGGATGTGTTCCTTCAATTGAACAGTTTGGACTTAGCTCAAAAAATGTATGTATGTATGTAGATTTAGTTTACTGCACAAGCATTCAATGAACTTCCTATCCTGTTTAGAAACTTGAGAAGCAGTACTAACTTGAGTAATAAATAAAATGCACAATTTGCATTGTTTCTCCCTCCTGATTCAGGTCAGCAAAGGAATGACGTTTATTGGAGGTGAGAGTGCAGCATTGAGCCGGGTATATGACTATTTCTGGAAGAAGGTACGGTAAACAATTACATTATATTTGCATAAAACTAAATTTGCTTCTTTCATTTGATATTCATATAGAGAGGGAGAAGTTTTGTATAAGATGAAAAATAAACAAAAGGATGTTATCACATGCTAGTATTAGACTTATAATTGCTGAAAGATTTCTCCGGTATGGCATGTTGGAGTGAGCATGTATCATATTGTAAATATGAGATAAGTACAGTTCATGTGATCATCCCATCAGCTGATCTTTTTCTAATCTACCTTTTCATTTCTTTCTTTATTTTTGGTAACCCCACTCCCAAGAGAAATTAATGCATCAGTAACAATATTTAAAGGTTGTGGACAGTTTCAGCAGAAGAAGATGGGATTTTGACTTTCGACATAAAATGTTCGTCTGGTTGCTAACTTGAATTTAGGTGTCATTTACAGCTTTAGAATTTTAGGTTATGAGTTTCATTAAATACTAATGTATAAATAATTCATCTTTTCTATATGCTTTTAGGATTTGCTCAGGAAATACAAGGAGACCAGAAACGGGATGCTAGGACCTGATTATTCAACAAAATTTTCTCCGTGGCTTGCATCAGGAAGTCTCTCTCCACGTCTAATATACGAAGAGGTCACATGTTTTGTCAATTTATTTCTTTCTTCTTCTATTACATGATAACTTGATACAACTTGAAAAATAAACCAATTTTCACTGGGCTGTCAATTAATCCCTTCAGGTTAAAAGATATGAAAACGAAAGGCTAGCAAATGATTCCACATACTGGTAATGATATCTCTATCCACATTGCAAGCTTGACTGATTTCTTATTTTCCTAGTTTGAAGTAAGTTAATAGAGTTTCCATGTAGCAGGGTCTTGTTTGAACTAATATGGAGGGACTACTTCAGGTTTCTGTCAGTCAAATACGGCAATTCCCTTTTCCATTTAGGTAGATAAAGTTATATTGTTTGATTTCTATAAATTAAATATGTTAAAATTGTGAGGAAATTAAATTAGAGTTGAGTGAACAGCTTATTGTTGGACAAGATATTCAAGCCTCCAAAGTCTTTGACATGACAAAATAAAGATTTTGCTTCACCTTACTTCCCTTTGCATATGTTGTACTTTTCTTGTGAGGAAATTAAATTAGAGTTGAGTGAACAGCTTATTGTTGGACAAGTATTCAAGCCTCCAAAGTCTTTGACATGACAAAATAAAGATTTTGCTTCACCTTACTTCCCTTTGCATATGTTGTACTTTTCCCCCCCTAGGTGGCCCAAGAAAAGTGGAGAAGAGGTGGAGCCAAGATAACACATTGTTTGAATCCTGGAGAGATGGTCAGACAGGGTAGGTGTTAGCTCTCACTCTCTAATACTATATTTCTCGCTTTCTTCTCTTTGGTTCTACTGAAGGCATAGAACATTGATTTGAATAAGCATAGATAAATCCTGCTTTCTCTCTGGTTAAACTTAGAGAAAACAAGTTTTTAAGACCATAAAGAAATGACAGCCCTTAGATATTTTTTGTTCTTTTTTCAGTCATTTTCTCTAGCTGGCACTTCTTTTTGATAAAATTCTTACGCTTACCGAACTCTAGGTACCCAGTCATAGATGCCAACATGAAAGAACTATCAACAACTGGATTCATGTCAAATCGAGGACGACAGGTAACCCTGATTGAATTTCTAAGTTTCAAGACTATAATTACAAATTATTACTTCACTTATTGTTATCAGATAACTGCTTGTCAGGTTAACAGACCTATATCCCCACGCATCTTCTCCTAGGAATCTTGTTATCACCACTAGGTTTTTAACATGACAGGCATTGTCTATGTTGCTGCAGATTGTATGTTCCTTTCTTGTTCGAGATATGGGAATTGACTGGCGTATGGGAGCTGAATGGTTTGAGACATGCTTGTTGGATTATGATCCATGCTCCAATTATGGAAATTGGACCTATGGAGCAGGTAATTTTCATTAAAATTGGGAAATGGCTTCTGCGTATACTTGTTTTTGTTAACGCATATATCTTAATAAAAGTGCTTGCGTGGGTGCGGGTGCATTTATCTGATCCTTTTTATTTTCTGTTCTCCAATATGCTGTCATTCTGTTCGTCAAACAGCTTGTCTGTCTTAAGTTGAGGCAGCAGGATGACTGTGATTGTAGATGGTCTGCATTTGTTTTCCGGAAAAGAAGATCTATTTTGTGCCTAGCCTATTTTTTGTTGAAATGAGCCTAAGCTAGAACGTCAAGAATCTCCAATATTAAGCTCTAGGAGTACTAGGACTCTACTATGTTGTGGTGCATCTTGCTCATTTGATATGCATTCGATATGTTGTGGTGCATAACTTATACTGCCTTGATATGCATTTGTATAACTTATACTGCCTCGTCAGATGTTGCACTGAGTATTTGAATAAACAATTATGTATTCTTCCTATTTAGGAGTCGGAAATGATCCTAGAGAAGATCGGTACTTCAGCATCCCCAAGCAAGTACGTAAACTCAATACTCTTAGCTATTGGGCATGTTTTTTTCACAACTCGAATTTTTTTGCTACAGTGTTTTTTCTCACAAAAATTTTAATTTCTCTCACGTGAAATTCACTTTACAACTCAAGTTCTCAACTCGAGTTGTGAGAAGAACATCTTTTTTCAGTGAAAGATTATTCCAAGTATAAAGATTTGACTTATAAGACCCCAACTTTTACCAACTTCTTGGGAAAGCCTGAATGGTTTCTAGGATTGAGTCTCACTAATATTTATTTTCCATAATGTAAAATTTGAGAAATGTGTTGTCCTCTTTTTGGTTCTAGATCAGATAAAAATTATTGGTAGCCAAAAAGTCTAGATATGGTATATAAATTGGCTGGTATGTTTTTTCATAGTTCTGGATTACGAAAATTTCTCTTTCACTGCAATAAGAAGAGTGCAATCCTTGAATTTCAATATTGTGTTATGCATTGTTCCGACCTAAATTCCGAAGTTTGCACTTTCCAAGTGTTTTGTGTTCAAAAGAGAAGAACACCAAGACAGTTCCTTAGAACTTGGGATTGTAGGGAAGTTTATATCAAGCAATATGATGAAAAGACAAGTTTGGGGGCTTGAAGAGTACAAGAAGACCGGTTTAGAAGCACTTCTATACATACTTATAGACTGTTGATGCCTTTTCAGGCGCAGACGTATGATCCTGAAGGCGAGTATGTAGCATATTGGTTGCCGCAATTGCAATCACTCCCAAAAGAAAAACGGAACTCCCCTGGAAAATCATACATTGAGCAAGTCGTACCTCTCAAATTCGGCAGCCCTACCAGGTATCAAAACCGAGACACGGCTTCCGCGTCGAGAAAACAACCCAATGGTGGACATAGACAAACAAAAGGACAGAGGAGATAAATCTTAGGAGGAAGAAGAAGAAGCTTCCATAGTGTCGTTTTTGCGTAATCTTATTTGCATGAAGTGACTTCTTCCGACGTTTATGGTACGACACTGAAGACACTGAATGCTCAAACAACTTGGGATTGGAAAATCAAAGGGGCGCCTCTGCACAGGACATCTTGCTCTACTAGAAAATAACGTATTGAGCAAAATAAATATTCGTGAAAGCATAATCTATTCCATTATTGATTTGTAAAATAGAATGAAATTTGGTTATTTCTTAACAAATAGTCAAGTGGTTAGCACCGTCTTTAATCTGATAAGGATTTTTCTTTTTCTTTTTTTTTCCCTCTCGCTTTACCACTATCCCTGTTGTATTGAGAAATTATACGATGCAGTTTATTTTTAATTTTTTATGGTGCATCATACAAATACATGTCTCATTTAAAAAATAATAATAAAAAACTAAACAAGTGTAACGACATTGCAAAGTTCGAACTATAATTCTAGTGATTTTGATATAAAATATCACATTAAATTTTAAATAATGATTTAAAATTATTTAAATTAAATACTAATTCTGAATCACTGTAAATAAATGTTGATTCTAAATTATAATTTAAATTATAATTCTGAATTCATCCATTAAATGTTCATTTATTGATCTGTCAAACTACGACCTATTAAGCGCAAGCCTTAAAAAAAGTCATAAAATATACCACAAATATCATGGTAGGATTAACTCAAATCTAAAACTTTAGTTACAATAATCAAGCCTATCATCTATTAAACGTAGATGGTGATTACGATTTAATCTAACGGCTCAAGCTTATTATAAATTTCCCTTTTTTTGCCGGTTGGATAGTTTTAGGGGTTGTTCTTTTACAATAAAACTTAAAAAAAATTTGAACTCAAGTTATAATTTTATTCAAGTTCATGTTCTTTTGTAAAATTTGTGTTTGAACTTGAGTTTAAACTCGAGTTTGGAGTTAAACTCGAGTTCAAGTTTTCCCTTCAACTCGAGTTCATAAACTCAAACTCAAGTTAATGAACAATATTTTTTCTATTTTTAAAAATGCCATAACTTTTTCGTTTTAATTCTGATTGAGATGATTTTTATTCTATGCATTCACAATGAAAAAGACGAATAAAATCCTACCCATATACCCTATTAAAATTTTTCATTACTATTGAGTTTTTATTAAAATACTATATAAATACAAATTTAAATTTTGACCCATCTAAACACAAAGTCAAAAAGATTCTCAATTTAAATTATAACTCAAATGTGCACATCTAAACACAAACTCAAGTTACAACTTTAACTCAAATTATAACTCAAACTTAACTTAAAATCAATTCAAAATCATCACTCAAATCACCTTAACTCAAAAATACAAAAAAATAACTCCTAAAAATTTCTAACAAAAATCATTGTAGAAAGAAAGGGATTCGTCGTCTTTTCTCCCTGTCGCCTCCCTCGTGCGCAGTTTCTTTTCCAAAACAGCATCTTTTAGTGAATGTTTTTAAAATTATTTTTAATTTATATATATTTTTTATAAAAAAATATTATA